AGTGAGGCTGATGACTTTACCCAGCCCTTCCTCACTTAAATCCAATTCACTTGCAAGTCATGACAGCACCTTCCTGATGTCATGGTCTTCTTTGAGAATGAAGGACAAACAATAAGATGGCATGATAAATCTGGTTATCCTCTTCTGGTCATTTTCTTAGCTTATCATTCTCTATCTCAAAATATGGTTTGTTATTGTTGTTGAGTCATTTAAGTTGTGTTTGACACTTTGTGACCCCATTTTGGGGTTTTCTTGGCAAAGATACTGGGGTAATTTGGCATTCACTTCTCCAGCTTATTTTACATGAGAAACTGAGGCAAACAGGGTTAATGACTTGCCTCAGGTCACACCACTAGTAACTGTCTGAGGCCAGATTTGAACCCATGAAGATGAGTCTTCTTGATTCCAAGACCAGTGCTCTATCCACTGTGCCATCTTGCTTCCCCCAAAGTGTGTTACCAAGAACTGAACACAGAAGTGGGGATATTACTTTATCAGGGCTTTCAATTTTATTGACAAAAAGGATTTACACCCATTAAACAATTATAAAATAATAAAAAAACCCAGACTTTTATGTGAGAATGATAGCTACTGTTGATATAGGACTTTGAGGTTTTTTGTTTTATTTTGTTTTTGTTTTTAATAAAGAAATTGTCACAAATTGTCTCATTTGCACCTTGGAGCCACTCTGTGAAGTAGGCTCTATACATATCATTATCTTCATTTCACAGATAAGGAAATAAAACTCAAAGAAATTTGTAGACTCATAAATATGAAGCTGGATGACATTTTGGGGGGGTTATCTAGATCAACCTCTTTATTTTATATCATAGATGAGGAAACAGAGGTTAAATGATTTACCTGAGATCACATAGGTAGTAAGTAGCAGAGGAGAGATTTAAATGCAACTCCTGGATGTTACCAAGGCACCCAGGTGATAGAGTGGATAGATCACTGGTTTTGGAGTCAGGAAAACCTGAGTTCAAATCCTACCTCAGACACTCCTAGCTGTGTGATCCTGGGCAAGTCACTTAAATTCTATTTGAGAATAATAACAGCACTTACCTCACAGGTTGTTGTGAGAATCAAATGAGATAATATTTGTAAAATACTTTGCACTGTGCCTGATACACAGTAGGCCCTATTTATTTATTTTTTTCATGTTAAGGTATTTATTTTTAAAATTTTATTTGTTTTATTCTGAACTTAAGAAACAAAACAAGCAGTTCCATAACATAGCAGAATAAAAAATATGATTGTGCATGAAACTGCAAATCTATTTAAATGCCTCTTTTCTGATTCCAAATCCAGTATTTTTTCCCACTATAGTGTCTTGACCAGAGATGGAGTTTGAACCAGTGTTTTCCCCATCTCCAAATTCAACATTTTCCCCATGATAACGATGCTGCCAGTCAAGGTACAGAGAGCTATGACTTGATAAAGGTGACTTAGTTTTGGAAGACCATATGTATGCTTCCAGCATGTAGTATACAGTAAGCACTTAATGCATATACTAGGTGAATTACAGTGCAATCGGGATTAGACTTGTTCTGCTTGGTCTCCCTAGGGCAGAACTAGGAATAATTAGTAGGAGTTGCACAGAGGCAGATTTCCACTTAAAGTCAGGAAAAAAAAAAACTTCCTAGTAATTGGAGCTATGTAAAAGTGGAATTGAGCTGCCTCAGGAGGTAGTGGGTCTGCCCTCACCAGGGGTTTTGAGCAATGGCTGGATAATTGTTTGCTGATGGGGCATGGGGTTGTAGGAAGGATTCTTACTCTGCCATCAGTTAGACTCAGGGCCTCTGAGTTCCTTCTCACTCTGAGATTCTGAGATTCAGTGGATGAGAGGAACACCTGGAGGCAAAGAACAGGGTAGGGATGTGACACCCCCCCTCCTCCAGCCAAAGCAGAGAAACTGCCAGGGAATGGTCCTAAAACTCATCAGAACAAAACTCATCAGAACAAGAGCAAATTCAAATAATTACCTATTCAAGATAAATGACCTTGTCTTCTTCCGTAATGGAAACAGTAATAGCCTGAGAAGAGAAACAGTCTAGTCCTAGGTAGAGGGAAGGATGCCCCAGGGGAAAATGTGGTGGCTTTGAAAGTAAGCTAGTTAACAGCAGCCAGCCCTCATCACTTTGCTGCTGTTTCAAAGCATATGATCACACCCTTACCTGCTGTAATGAATGGCATAATAACTAACTTGCTGTCACTAGGCAACTGTCCATGGTCCTTTTTTATTGGAAGATTGATTTTGGATTTTCTTTCAGCACTTCATAAGAGCACATGCCAATATTTTCTAATAGATGGTCTGGGAGGAGATAACAGCCAGTTACCAGATAGGTCAACTCATGATTCACTTCTGACAATAAGGTAATTTTGTGACAGGAACCAGCATGAGATACTGTATGTAGGTGAAAATCCAGCATGCCCTATCATCTTCTTTGGGGAAATTCACATGGCTTATTTGTTGTTCTGTTGTTTTCTTCTCTCTACATGGGGCTCTGGAGAGACATTGAGAGACAGAGAGAGAGAGAGAGAGAGAGAGAGAGAGAGAGAGAGAGAGAGAGCTATGTGGGGTATCTGTGAGTCTGCTAACATGGGACAGCTTTCAATCTACTAATCAATCAGTGATTCAATCAATGAACAGAAGCTGTGGTGTACTGAATAGAGAGTGGCCCTTGGAGTCAGAAAGGCCTGGATCCATGTAGCACTGCTTCTGACATCTGCTAGCTGTGTGACCCTAGGTAAGTCTCTCAACCTCTCAGTGTCCTTGAGAAGTTCTCTGACACGACTAAGGTGCAGAACAGGTATTGATCTGCATGTCTAGGAGTTTTCTTAAGGGGAGCTCACTACAACATGGAAGTTAGAGACCTATTTAAGCAAACAATGTGCTAGAGGCTGCTAATTAATGTAGACTTAAGATGAAAGAGAAGTTGGAGAGAGTGAGTGAAAGATCTATAGGTTGACTCTGTACTAGTCCAATTGTAGATTTCAAGGAATACATAGAGAGTAATAATCCTCTCTAATCTATTTAGAGAGTGTGTTGACAGCATAGAAACCATTGCTAACTGCTCACATTCAATAAGCAGTTATTAAGTACCTACTATGTGCCAGGCCCTATGCTAGATAGTGGGATATAGAGTCAGAAAAGCAATAATCTCCAATCTCCAGTGCTTTATATTTCATTGCTAAAGGATCATAAGACCACAGATTTAGTGATGGTAGGGACCTTAGAGGCTACTAAGCCTGACTTCTCATTTAGAGATGAAAAAATTGAGATATGAAAAAGTTAACTGATTTGTCCAGAATCAGATACTTAATAAGTATCAGAAGCAGAATTTGAACCGTAGTCTTTCTGACTCGTGGGGCAGCTAGATGGTTCCCTGGATAGAATGCTGGTCCTGGAGTCAGGAACACCTGAGTTCAAGTCCAACCTCAGACATTTACTAGCTGTGTGACCTTGGGCAAGTCACTTAACCTCTGCCTCAATCCACTAGAGAAGAAAATGGCAAACCACTCCAGTATCTTTGCCAAGAAAATCCCGTGGACGGTATTGGCATGCTATGGTCCAGAGGGTCACATAGAGTCAGATATGATTGAATGACTGAACAACAGCCACTTTCTGACTTGAAGTTCAGGTCTTTATCCACTATACCAGAGGTGCCAGCCACACCACTCCTGAGGGCTGTCCAAACTGGATTCAAATATAATTGGGAAATATTTAACAAAATAAATAAAACAAAACAACACATAGATAAAGTTACATTTTAAAACTAAGTCAATATGTAGCCTGCAGGGATCCTCACATATAGATTTCTGGGCCTCATTTCCACTTGATTTTGACAACACTACAATACATGTAAGTGATATAAGCAGACACATGCTCACCATTGCCCTTGGATCTCAGTGTTGTTGTCATGAAAGGAAGCTGTACAGGCAGCCACAACTCAGAAATTCAAGTCTATGCAGAACCACAGGCTGATCAATGTGGCCTAAGGGAGGTTGGGTCTCTGTAGCCTTATAGGAATTGGAGCCTTTTGCAAACATACCAGTCTTGGGTAAGCTGACCCCGGGAAACTTTGAATGAACTTATCACAAGCAGATCAGATAATGTATTGCCACATGGATTGGTTGAATTAATTTTGTGTGTGTGTGTGTGTATGTGTGTGTGTATTGGTATACTTACAGACATATCAGTCATTCTAGGGAAGGGGACAAACATTTATAAAGTACCTACTACCTACTACCTACCAGTACCAGGCACTCTGCTAAGTGCTTTACAGATATTATCTCATTTGATTTCTAGATGATATGTTCTTAGACTTTTTTTGTGTGTATCATAGACTCCTTTGCTAGTCTAGAGAAGCCTATGGACCCCTCCTCAAAGTATTTTTAAATGCACAAAATAAAATACATAGAGTTACAAAGGAAAACAATTATATAAAAACATAATCTTTTTTTTTTTAAGTCTGTGGCTCTCAGTTAAGAATCCTTGCTTTAGACAGTCCTGTCTACTTGTGTCTCCTCCTTCCTCCCCCTGGGGGAAAGAGCTTAGTCCAGACCACCTATATTAAATATCCATCTTGTACTCTAACCAACCACTAGGAGAAAAATTCCTTTCAGGAATAGAAAATATACTCCCAACTCCACACACAGTCTCCCTAGGGAAAAAAAAGCAGTCCATCTGCCTTCCTTTCCTTTGATGACTTAAACATGCTTTTATAAATTACTAGTAATTCTTAAGTACAGATTGGAAGCTTGGGAACCATGGGCACAGTCATGATGGAATAGTCATTTTCGAAAAGAGGACAGTCAGAATATTTAAGGCCTTGGTTCATGGAGGCTGGGATGTTTTCCCAACAACACTTGGTAATTCACCTCCACCCTCAAAGAGCTTACATTCTACATTGGGGATACAACTGACACAAGGAAATCAATACCAAGAACTCTATGTTTCTGAGAATCCGGTTCCCTCTCTGTAGGTAAACCCTTACCATGGCTAGTGGGATGACTCCAATCAAATCCTTCTGGCTCACATAGATTTTAGACACCCCCAGGTCCGAGGTAGTCTCTCCAGGGTATTCAACCTGCCACGTGACTAGCTGCGTGGCTGGTAGGTCACTCAGCTCTTCAATTTCTATATCGATCTGCATGACTTCATTGGATTGACCATCCGCACTGGAGGGAAAGATAAAAGGAGAATCATGATGAATCATCAGGGGTTAATCTAGGGTTTGCATAAGTGACATGTCTGCATGTGTTTGTGTTACAATCACCTCTTGTGAAATACAAATAAGAGAATTAGCCGTAAAATAAACAAAGCACCTGTAGTCTCTTAATAAAGAGATCATTGCCCAAGCTCTCTATACCCTCAGTTAGATTGTCTCCCTGAGAGCTAGAATTTGCAGTAGGGTAAACATAGGAAATAACAGTAAAAATGTATATTCGTGAAGTTTGAGGATGGGCACGTGCATTTTTCATATCCAAAGGAGGCGTCATCATTCTCCTTATTTCCTTTCTTCCCCCACATCCAAAGAGTTACCAAGTCTTGTCAATTCCACCTCCATAAAATATTTTGCATCAGTCACCAATCATCGTCTTCACATTTTCTCACTTTCTACTACCCTATGACAAGTTGTCACCTCTTATCTGAACTATTGCAACAACTTCCTAGTCTCCCTGTTCAAGTGTCTCCCTTCTATAATCTATATTCAAATGAAAAAAATCATCTAGAACACAGGAGTGTCCATTTTTTTCCTCTACTCAAAATTCCTCAGTGGTTCACTATTGCCTCGAGGACAAAATACAAAATTTTTGCCATGGCATTTAAAGATGCCCACTTATCTTCTTAGACTTATTTCATATTATTCCCCTTTATGCACACAGTTCTAGTTAATCTGTTCTGTTAGCTCTTAGCTAACAAACAAACAAACAATCCAAGTGAATTTTCCTGAAGCACACAATGCACAGAATTACATCTCCTTCCTTGGTGTCTTTGCACAGGTGTTCTCTCCTATTTAGAATCCACTGCTTTCTCACCTCCACCTCTAAGGCTCCCCAGCTTCTTATATAGTACAGCTGAGGTGCCACTCACCACCTTAGACATTTTCTCTCTGACACTGGGCAAGTGATTTGACCTTCCAGGTCTCAGTTTCTGCATCTGTAAAATGAGAGCATTGTACTAGATTGCCTTGGAGGTCCCTTCCACCTCTAGATCTATGATCCCATTATCTTTGAACAATTTTATTCATGCTCTCTGAGACTCTGCTTCCTCATCTGGTTAAAAAAAGTAGACCAGATTTGATCAGGGATTTTTAATCTAGCATCCATATTTTTTTTAAATATCTTGTAACTGTATTTCAGTACATTTAGTTTCCTTTGTTATTATATGTATTTATTTTATGCATTCAACATTAGTCTGAGAAAGGGTCCATCAGCTTCACCTCAATGCCAAAAGGGTCCATGATACAAAAAAGGTTAAGAATCTCTATACCAGATGATGGCTTCAGAGGTCGCTTCTAGCTTGGGATTGAGGATGCTATGATCCATTGACTCTCCATGGGTGCCACTCCCAAGGGTTAATTCACCCGTTTTTTTCTGTCTGCACTGATATATGTATGCTAGGGTCTCTGATCAACCTCTTATCATGTATATATAATTACTGGCTCTACAGAGTCTCCTCAGGGCCTTTTCAATGTTTAGTTTCATGTTGGTCTTAATTCTCCTCTCTCTTGGAAGAAATCCCACCCCCACCATGCTACCATATTCCAGCCTCAGGCAGAGTAGAGGGGTGGTTGCTAAAGCCCCATATATCGAAGTCTACCCTCTATGTTTAAAGGCTAAAAAAAAAAAAAGATAAGCTTGGAATGTTTACAAGTGGGGAAAGCTAGGACTCAGGTCATAGAATAATCATGGAATCATAGAACATTACAACTAGAAAGCCCTGGAGCTGGGATGTGCACCCTGGCCATCTGACTTCCCCAGTCCTGTGCTTTCCCTCTGCTATACCATGACTGCCTCTCAGGCCAAAGCCTAATGTTGGAAACAGATGTTTCACAAGGACAACACATCCAACAAGTGTTGCTACCACTTATTTTTGTCCCCACCATCGGCTGCTTCTCCCTCACTTCAGCAAGTTTTTAGAAAATGTTCATTGCAGAGTCTGGAAAGCTACATAAAAGAAAGCTAAGAGAGCCAGCAATCCCAGGGAGAGAATAATAGCAACCTGAAGAGGAAATGAAGGCCAAGGAGCTGAGAATTAACCAGTAGAAGTTGGGAAAGTGGTGGGGGGGTCAGGAGGTGGGATGACTCTTAGGGAAACCTCACATAGCTAATGCAACTCATGCCTCTGAAGTGATTCTATTAAGATTCTAATTCTGTATTTCACCGACATGAAAGTCAGACTACAGAACTTCCAGAATGCCAGGCAGGCCTCATCCTATACAGCAAAGATGCTGAAAAGCTTCTCTATCTAAGCAGCCCCAGCTGGCCCCTTGTAAATCTTGATGCTTTCCTAACTATGGCCCTGGGACAAGGCAGAGAGGCCTTCAGAGATCTCTGGGGTCGATGAAGATTGTGAGATGCAAGAGACAGGGACTATTTTTGTAAAAGAGATTCATCCATGAGAACCCCCTCAGACAGAGATTAGAAGGTGTGATGACCAGAAAAAGGGAAAGCCGCAATGACAGACTGTCTGTGCGGTGCTGGCTGTCTTCAATGGACCAGGGAAGATAGTAATCAGGGTATCCAACTTTTGGAGGAGGAAGAGCAAAGGGATTACAGACCATCTAGGCCTCCTTCTTGGCTCCAGGAGAAAAGAAATCCAGTTCTTTGATAAGCAGCCCTTGTGCCAAGAGCTTGATTCTGAACAAATCCCTCACTGCTGAGGTTTTTTTTTTAATCATCATTTAAGATACCGTAAATCTGCCTTTTAAAAGACACTGCCTGGAGATGTTATCTGAGAAGTGTTTGGGCCTAGGGTGACAAAGTGAGAGCAAAGCTTCCTTATCACATTAAGGAAGGAGAGGGACTTTTCTACAAATTTCCTATACATAGGTAATAGTTCACTTGAAACTGTTTTTATTGCTTCTGGGTCAAAGACACACTGTGCAGGGCTTCAATGGGTGTGGGATCTCAGTGAGCTTTAACAAAGGTTGAGCAACCAAGGCTTTGTCTCAGGGTGCCAACCTTCGTTGGAGTGGGGGAGTATTCTCTGGGTAATTCTCCTCTACAAATATAGATCAACAAACTTCTGCAAATTATAGTCTCAAATACTTAACTCAGAAGGGTCAAGTAGTAACTAAAATTTACATAGTATTTTTAAATTTGCAAAATACTTTACATATATTATTATATAATATATTACATATATTATTTGAGCCTCACAACAATCCTGTGAAGTAGATGCTATTATTATCTACATGTTACAGATGAGGAAACTGAGGCCAAGGTAAGTTAAGAGACTTGTCCAGGGTCACACAGTTATTTATATGTCATAGGTGGAACTTGAATTCAGGGCTTCCTAACCTTCTCTCTCTACTATCCCACATTCCCTCTCCCCAAAATATGAATTGGTTTCATTTTTTTTTCCCCTGTAGCATCACTGCCCTCAATTTAGTGACCTATTCTGCCAACTGTGGAACTATCATTGATCCCAGAAGTAATGATTTCACATAGCCCCATTATGGAAAAGCTCTATTTTTATGCTGTGTTTTGTGAGGGACTGTCTTGTCTTTGGAGTTGACTGAACCTGGTTTCCGAACTTGAAATGAAAACATTCACTTCCATGCTGACTGGAGCAGGGAGGCATTTCTGGTCAAGCTCAGCTGTAAATTTTAGCATTTTAGAAAGGTACCTTGATGTCTGGTGAGGTTGCAAAGCACTCTGCTGCTCCCAGGGGTTAATTCACTCTTTTTGTTTCTGTCTGCACTGATGCATGCTGGGGTCTCTGATGAACCTCATTCTGTCTGTGTATGGTTGCTGGCTCTGTAAAGTCTCCTCATGACCTCTTCAGTGTTTAGTTTCACCAATCCCACCCCCATCTCCAACCCCACCAAGCCACACCCTAGCCTCAGGTAAAGCACAGAAGTGGATGCTGGAGTACTCTATATTAAAGTGTACTAGTCATGTTTAAAGGTTTAAAAAAAAAAAAGTGGTTAACTTGAAAGTTTGGGGAACGGAGCAATCCAGACTTGTTACAGAGTAATAATGGAATCATAAAATATTACAACTAGAAAGAAGCTTGGAGATCATCTAATTTAAGTCACTTATTTTAATGATAGGTAAACTGAGGCCCAGAAAGAGAACACGTTTTCTATCAACCCTATTGTTCCTGCTAATAATAACTAGCATTTACAAAGCATTTTAAGGTTTGCAAAGAGCTGTGTGTGTCATCTCATCTGATTCTCACACTAACCCTGAGAGGTAAGGGTATCATTACCCCCATTTTACATATGGAAAAATTGAGTCAGACAGAGGTTAAGTGACTTTCCCAGGGTCACACAATTAATGAGAATCTGAGCTACTCAGGTCTTCCCTACTCCAAGTTCAGCAATCTGACCACCTGCACGATTTAGATGCCAAAAACCCTACTAGCTCTAGTCTCTCTCCTGAGCTCTAGTCCTTCTCATGTGGCTAGCCTTTCATTAGACATTTTCATTTAGATGTCTTGTAGGTCCCTCAAACTTAACATGTCCCAATGAGAACTTATTATTCCCACCTCCCACCAAATCAACCAAATTCCCAACTTCCCTGTGACTATGGAGGGTACTACCTTACACCCAGGCCCCCAGATGTTCAACCTTACTGTCCTCCACAACTCTTCCCTCACTCAGCCCACATATCTAAGCAGTTGTATTTCCATAATATTCTGTCCAGCTACACACCTACCAGCCTAGGTCATGTTCTCATTACCTCTCACCGCTATGATTACAGTCCTCTCCAATTTATATATTCATTCATTCATTTGTTTATTTATTTTTGGTGAGGCAATTAGGGTTAAGTGACTTGTCTAGGGTCACACAGCTACTAAGTGTCAAGTGTCTGATCTGAGACCAGATTTGAACTCAGATCCTCCTGACTCCAGGGCTGGTGCTCTATCCACTGCACCACCTAGCTGCCCCATAATGAAAGGAGGTTTGTTTTGTTTTGTTTTTTGGTGAGGCAATGGGGTGAAGTGA